GCCATGGAATGTGTTACCAACTTTGAAGGTGGAACAAGCAGTCACAGAGGGTTAGATGGTATAGTAGAAGTAGTTACAAAATAGAGGGGAAATTTTTTTAGTATTGTACAGGGAGGTTTTAACACCTGTGCAGGGGGGTTTTTACTTTGTACAGGGGAGTCAGGAGTTCTAAGATGGAGGAAAGTGGGCCTGATCCTGTTCTTCCTCCTTCTTCATCCTTGCCTCCATGTTCTTGGTGATGCTGGCACTCATGGATTGGTTTAGAGTAGAAAAGCACACTGTAACATAGGTAGTAGGTATTGGGGAAAATCTGTAAACATATAATATGTAATATATCATATAAAAGATAGCAGCAGCCCTGGGCGGGGGGAGAGAAGAAGACACCGGACAGTGAGGGTGTCAGGAGTGTGTGTGACTCTGCCTGGGCCGCTGACCAAAGCAGCTGCAGTGGGCGAAGACAATCTTTTAGGTAACCAGCAATGAACTGCCTTGAGACCGAACAACAAGAGGCTGCGGAGTTTTCTTTGGAAGCACAGGTTGGAGGAGAGACTTTACCACCACACGAGACCCCTGAACCAAGCCGGGGGTTCTCACAGGAAAGAATCCCAAAGGACGTACTTGTCCCTTGAACCCCACCATCATTTGTGGTTCCACAGACACCTTCTGCATTTTGAAATTGTTTGTCTCTCTCTGTGCAGGGTATGAGACCAATACAAGCAGCTAAAAGCTTTAATTTCTGTGCAGAGCTTCATCTGAGGGCAGAACTGGGGGCAGATCTTCACTGCTGGCCACCCAGACATGCATTGTTTGGCTGCATCCATTCCCTAGATGAGTTGAAGCCTCTGTAACCAATTATGTAAAAGTTTGAGAAATCACAAATATCTTCTGATTTAATTTTTGTGCTAGGGCTAAGTGGCCTCTGTCTCTGTCTCTGACTACTGGCTGCTGTTTGTCCCAAACCCACCAAAGCACCCACCCCAGTGAGACCTCCCCACCAACACTGCTGCTGGGTGTGAGGGGATAGAGCTTGGGGCTTTGCTGCCTTGGACAGCCTCACTCCAGCTACAGGAGCATTATAAAAGGAAGAAGCTGACTCTCAGCATCCTTGCACATTTCTTTTTCTTTTTTTTTGTTATTCCTGAGCTGAAGTGGTGCATGAGTGCTGAGCATGTGCATCTCTGCACTGGGCAGAGGGGGGAAGGAGCAAGGAGAACATCTTATAAATCTAGTTCTGCTCTATTAAGATTCATTCTGGTACGACAATGGCTTTTTCTATTGAAGTGCTTTGTGAAAGCCTTGCCTAATGATCTGTTAGCTGGGGAAAGGTTAAATTCCTGTATGATTTTCTTTGTTTGATGAAGAAAAAACAGTGCAATTATCCAGAATTCAAAGTGAGTTTTAGCCAGCTGTTAATAATACTGCGATTCCTCATGTTCTCATTACTCAAAAGTAATGTTGCCGTCCCTAGTCATGGCAGTAAAATATTTATAGCATTTTCTTATGGCCTTATTTGTACATATGGAGGACTGGGCATCACTCAAAGTCTTCTAAATAGGTTTCTTTTTGTGCTTTAGCCATCCATAGAATCATTTGGTTTGAAAAAGACATCTAAGATCATCCAGTCCAACCATTATCCTAATAGTGCCAACTCCATCACTAAACTATGTCCCTAAGTGCCATACCTACACATCTTTTAAATATCTCCAGGGGTACTGATTCGGCCACTTCCTGGACAGGCTGTTCCAATGCTTGAGAATGGTTTCCGTGAAGAAATTTTTTCTTGTATCCAATCCAAATGTCCCCTGTCACAACTTAAGGCTCTTTCCTCTTGTCCTATCCCTTGATGCTTGGGAGAAGAAGCCAACCCCACCTCACTACAACCTCCTCTCAGGTAGTTGGCAGAGAGTGAGAAGGTCTCCCCTGAGCCTCCTTTTCTCCAGGCTGGATGCTGCTCCTTCACATGCTCCTTAAAAGACTTGTGCTCCAGACCTTTCACCAGATGTTTTGTCTCTCTCTGGACTCGCTCCAGCATCTCAACACCTTTCTTATGGTGAGGGGCCCAAAACTGAACACAGCACTCAAGGTGCAGCATCATCAGTGCTGAGTACAGGGGGACAATCACTGCCCTTGTCCTGCTGATACAAGCCAGGATGCCTCCTTGGCCACATAAGCACACTGCTGTCACACACTGCATGGCAGTATTCTTGTCATCTAACTGCAGCTGTCTGCAATGAAGATATCCACTTTTTAAGGCAATCATCTCAGAGGTGAGAGACATGCCCTTTAACCACTAATGGTTAGCTCTGTGCAAACTGATCATCAAGACTCTGCTAGGGTCACTGGGCTGGTGCTTCCAAGCTTGCACTATCCCAAGACAGTTGCCAAGAATGAAGGAGGAAAGTGGATTCAGTACCTGCTAGTCTTGGTATCAAGAGTGGCCATTTTAACAATCTGGTGTGACGCAGAGATGGGTTTATTAGTACTTTTCTGCTCTTTGTAGCTTCAGTGCAGGCTACAGGTTTATCTGTCCTGGGAGACCACTGGGAGCGCGCAGGACCAAACCCCAGACATCTGTGTGTTTCTCCTAGCTCACTCCCCTGATTGCTGACGTTTCCAGCTTGGAAAGCTGTGGCAGAACATGAAATACACGTGGCATCTCTGCGTCCAGGCACATAGAAATAAAATAAGTGTCATGGGGAAAATATAATTTCACAGTGGCAGGCCCTGTGTTGGGATAAACAGACATCTTGTTTCCTCTCATGGCTGCATGGAAAATCAATTCCCAGTCTTCTGCAGTGGCTCCTAAACATGAACCAAATCCCCTTTTGTAGTACAGTTGTTTTGTACCAGTGAAAAGGTTTCATTTCTAGCAGGAGAACTGCAGGTAACACAATTTTTGCTATCCTGTTTTGTCATTTGGGTGTCTATCTTCTCCACTTCATAGGAGTCCCACTTCAAGTGCAGCTTTTTGCCTGGGGGTCTGAAGTAAATCAGTAATAAGTAACTGTATCTGTCTCTAATTCACTAAACATCCAAAAAAAAAAAACAGCTAATGTGCCTGAACCACTGGGATGAATACATTAGATTAATCTAATGCAGCTACTTCTCACTCAAACAACCAGTAGCATTTTGAAAAAGGTTGTGGAAGGGAATGAGAATTTCTCTTCCACATTTTTGTATTCTTCTTCTTTCCTTAACTTTCCTGTGTTGCATTAAATGTTAGTTATTCCGTTAGCTTATTTCCTGGACCTTCCTTAAAACTTTACTTTAAAAGGTAAGTTTATTTTTGTCAGACCTCAGACCTGGGTCTGTATTCACTGAGATTTTTAGTGACAGAATAAACACAGACATACAGTGAACAGCTTATCCTACCTGGAGCGAGCAGCTCCCTCTTCCACTTGCGCCTCAGGTGGGCAGCATGGCTACAGGAAATCTTGGAGCATCACTGCTGGGCTCAGAGCAATTCCCTGAGTGTGTGGTGGCCTTCCCTACATCCCCTTCATCCTTCATCTCCCTTGGCAAAGGTGGTGCATCCTATCACCCTGGTGCCATGGCAAGTCTGATGTATCCTCTGCTCCTTTATGCCCCACTTGTTTTGGAAATGTGCAAATAGATCCAGAGCAGGCTGCCTAGACCCTTCACTGTAACAACAAATGACTGGAAGCTGACCTGGGTGTGAGTATTTCTCCCTGCAGTTCAGTCTGGATTAAGCTTACCTCCATTTCTGGAGAGAACATCGTGTGCAATCCTTTGTGTACAAAGCCTCAGAGCCCATCAAGGTGTAAGACCTAAATGGCTGCTTTGCTGCCCGCAAGTCCTGCTCTCCTGTCAGTAGATTGCTTCAGTGTGATTTGTTCTTGGCACTCTCCTGTGGCTGTTGATCATCTCCTTATATTTTGTAAGTGCTGACAAGCAACTTGGTTACTTGTCCAAATGTTTTTCTGGGACCTGAAGCCAGTCTGCCTACTCTGTAATTTCCAAGCACCTCCTTCTCCTCTTCTGAAAGTGGAGCCTGCAGTCTGCCCTCCCTGGCCCCCTGGAACCTCCCTATCCCTGGTGGCTCTTCGCAGTTAAGTGGTTGCATCTCCAAGGCTGCTTCAGGAAGCTTGCTGAGTGTCCTGGGATGCAGTTCAACAGGCAGGGATGATTGAAAACACCAGAGTTATCTAATTGCTCTCTAACCAAATCTCCTCTTGCTGTCACATGAGTTTGTGTTGCTAGCACTGGCATTAGTTTCATCAGCAATGTGATTGCTGTTGAGTTTTTAGGGAAATTTTCATTAAAAAATTAAAAAAGGGCATTAAGTGTTTTGTCTCTCTGCCCTGTGCTAATGTTGCACTTCCCTAAATAGTGGATCAGCTCTGTTTTTGGTCTCTTCTGTTGCTGCTGGCTGGTGCTCCCACTGGTCATCGAGACCACAGTACAGGGAGATGCCATCCAGGCAGTTTTGGGGCCAGCAGAAAGGACACAGATCACAGGTCCCACAGAGCCCCAGACCCTGGGCAGGCCTGTGGCAGCAGGGTTTGGCCAGGTCATAGGCAGGGAGCCTAGGGAGCAAAGACCAGGCTCCTCTGGGGTGCAGGAGAGGTGGCAGCTTTAGGGTGGTGACTTTCTTGTCCTCTCCCCAGACACTGCAGGGATCTGCTCTGAAAGAGATGCAAGGCAGAATAAACACAGGAAAGGACAAACTTTCCTTGCCAAGATCAGATGAAAAGCAATGTTATAAAGTCACTTGTCTCTGGTAACATGGCCCCATCTCTGACACAGAGGTGGAGGGCATCCAAGTTTCATGCTGGAAGGAGATGAACCCACACCTGGAATCCTATCTGGGTTTCAAAGGTCAGGTGCCTTTCTGTGGTTACAGATGTCGTGGGGATGGCATTTGACCCTGGCTCATCCTACACAGAAGGCGAGGTATGATGGACAGCAGGATCATTTGAACCCCCCTGGAACTAGCTTTCCTTTGAATTACAAACTGTTTTTTGTTTCTTCCCAGCCAGGTCTCTAGACAAACTCTATAACTTTGCTGACTGCTCTGGCCTTCACCTGATCTTTGCACTGAATGCTTTGCGCCGAAATCCCAACAACTCCTGGAACAGCTCCAATGCCCTCAGCCTGCTGAAGTACAGTGCCAGCAAGAAGTACAACATCTCCTGGGAGCTGGGCAATGGTGAGTGTGGGAACACGAGAGCCACGGGAATGGAGCTTGCTGTAGCAGAAAGATACTCAGTTTTCTGTAGCAGGAAGATTCCTCAGGAAGAGGATACGTGTAGCTCCCAGGGTGCTTTACCAGTGTATTTTCAGAGGGATTTAAAGGCCCCTGCTGTAAGGCAGTGCCACCTCTAAGACTTGGTGTGAGTGAGTCTCTTAGCTGGATATTTCTCTCAGTTGGTATTAAGTACATGAGATGTTTCTGCCCTGTCTGCTGGACCCATCTGGTCCTGGGGGACCAGGCCATCTACTGTAGGGACTTGTATGGTGGCTACAGTGGCAGGGGAGGTGGCCAACCCTATGGGGACAGGAGCATGACACCAGCTCCTTCACCCAGCACACAGCAAAAGGGGCACAGGAGAGCAGGCAGTGGCTGTCGTCCACTCCTCAAAGGCTCCTTCTGTTGCTCTGCAGAGCTGCCTGCATCCTCTGCAGAGCTCAAGCTGTGTGACAGGGTGAGCTGTGTCTCTCTGGAAGTACAGAGGAGAAAGCAGAGCTGACAAGTTTTGCTTGTCAATTTTTATTTTCTCAGAGCCCAATAACTATCGGACACTGATCGGCCGCTCAGTGAATGGCAGCCAGCTGGGAAAGGACTACACTCAATTGAGAAGCCTGCTGCAGCTTATCCGCACTTATTCCAGAGCACACCTCTATGGGCCAAACATTGGAAGGCCCAGAAAGAATGTCGTTGCTTTTCTGGAAGGGTAAGTGGTGTTGGGTTGATCAAAGAGAGCTCAGAAACCCCTCCTGAGACCAATGTCCTTGGCAGCAGGAAGCTTGCTCCTTGGCTTCCCAATGTCCAACAGCTTCCAGGACAGTGAGGCTCTAGGTGGCTGAGCCACCACAGTACCAGAGGCTTTGGAACATGGTCATGTGTACAGCTAAAGTTCTGCTTTAAAGAGGTCCCTGGTGGGATTTTGGGATGGACTGATTCACACTCTCCCAAGCATTTCCAGTGTTTCCCAGTTATAGGCAGACTGAGGTGTCCACCTTGTTGGGATGTTAAGACAATGCAGTGGTGTGGATGCAGGCAGCTGCAAGCCCAAGAGCTGCAGGGTGAGGATGTGGGTCCTGGCACCACTTACCAATGTGCACGTTATTATCTCTGAGTCCTCCTGGACAAATTGCTTTGCTCTTCCCCTTTGGTGATTTCTTCTCCCTGTGCTTTCTTCATCTGTGCAGAGGAAGAACCTGTAGCAACTTTCTTCACTGGCCAAGCTCTCTTCTCCCTCCTAGGGGGATTGGCATGTCTCTAGTTTGGGAAGGCCAGAGGTGGAGAAGGAATGGTGACAGAGAGGGACACAGACACCTGGAGGTGACGTTGGACAGCTACAGGAATCAGGGAGGTGTGGGAGCCTGCTGGCAGCAGGAGTTGGGTCTGTGTGGCTCGAAGACCATGCAGCAGAAGGGAAATTCCCTGCAGGACTGTAAACAGAAACTCCAGTGCAGAAGGCTGGGCAGGGGGAGGTGTGGAAGGGACTCTGCTGGGAGCAAAGCTGGGTCTAGCATTCATTAACATCTGCAGGAATGATCTGGCAGAAACAATAAACAGCACACTGATGCAGTCCCCAGCGAGGCGGGGAGGGAGCCGGGGCCAGATTCTCAGCTCTGCTGCAGCAGCACAAAGAGACCATAAAGCTGGTTGGACCAGCTGCGACGCCAGCATCCCTCCCACTGACGAAAGTGGGGGCACAGCCCCTGTGCCACACCACGGCTGCCACCGATGCCACGTGAGAGCATCGCCCGACAGAGCCGGCGCTTGGTGCCGCGCGTGGGAGCGGCGCAGGGGGAGTCACGGAACGCTGTAGTAGCCTTGATCAGCAGGAAATCTATTAGCGCCGGGAGGAGCAGGCTGAGTAAGGAAAACAATGGGGATGAGAGCCAAGAAGCTATTAGAGAAAGGGAAGTCCTACTGCTGTGTTTGCCCTTCGTGCGCCGCAGCCGGGTCCCAGGGAAGAGGGGTCGGAAGAGCCAAGTTGCACGGCCAGGGTGGTCCAGCAGCTCAGTGTTGCTGGGCTGTGTTTTGACTGACAGCAACCCTGGGAGCAAGGCTGGAGTGTACAGTCTGATGGAGATAATGGCAGACACCCCACCTCAAATGAAAGGGAAGGTCTGTAAGAGCTCCAGCCCTGGTAACGGCATAGTGGGGCTCTTCATAAACCCCCCAGCTGGTGTGGAGAGCTCTGATGAGCATGCCTGCTCTCCAAGCTATAGGTTTTTTTCTCTGCTGCCATTCCTGCCTTCCAGGATAACTCTGTTCCACGGGTGTTCAAAGAGTTTTGTCTCTCCCATGGAGAAACCTTGTGTCCTTCATTCCAGATCCTGGTGTCTGCAGCTCACAGCAAGCGGCACACGCCTGCATGGTGTTACAGCCTGTGGGGCCCTGTGGAAAAAGAGCTGCTGGTCCTTCCACATAAAGACCCCATTGTTACCAGGCGGGGCGTAAAGAGGAGGGACATGTCTGATTACACAAAGACAAAGGGCTATAGGCTCATTTGCAGTGTTTGGACATGGAGTTGCAAAAGGATAAACATATAAACCCTGGTGCCTAAGCTCATTGACAGCATGAGCTTTATTCCCAGTGGCTCCCCAAGGTCTCTTCAATATTTGGGTTAGTGCTACCGAGAGCTCTGTCTTCTGCAGCAGCATCCAGAACTGGTCCACTGGTTGTGGCTCAGCGTGTGCCTGGTGCTGTCACAGCCAGGACATGCCTCTTAGGGTCCTGAACAAGCCACACACGGTCAGCAAGCAGGAGAGAGGAGAGGGAATTTAGGAAGGTTCTCTCAAAGGCAAATCTTCCACCTGCCTTGCTAGACCACCATGAGTGATCTGTGTAGTGCTCACAGTAGGCTGAAGGCTCCTGACTGAAGTGTGTGCAGCTCATACTCCTGATGATGTGAAATTTATAGTTTTTCTCTTCTTTTAAAAAACTTTTGATGAACAGCAGAAGTCAGCCATGTAGGAGATGATATGTCAAGTGGAAGATTATGCATCAAGAGTTAACCAAGGCTGGGGGGGTGAGATGACACCCCCAATGTAAAGATGGGATGGGTGGATTAGTCTGCCAGGCAAGCATTGTTGTATTACACAAAGTGAGGAAGTGAGTTTTGGTAGGAGAAATAATGGGACAGGATACCTCAGACAAGCCCAGGGAATGTTCTTCAGCAGTGGAAGCTGGCATTAGATGTTCTCCAGGGAAAGCCTCTGGAGATACCTGAGGTCCCAAAACACTCAGAGAAAAGTGTCACTGTGACATATTAACTAGAATAACATTTTCCTATTCCATGCTCTGTGTTCCAAAGGTTTTACTCTATTTTTAGCTGTTCTCTCAAGCAACCAAACTAAACTTATTTTTGTGCTTAAGTTTTGCCCTGAAATAATGGCAGTGTCAACATGACTTGGGCATTTGCATCTGCTGAACACCTCCAGGGCTCTTCTGACTAAATCCTTATGCCTGTCCTCCAGAACAGGGTGGGACTGAACCCCTCCTGAGGTGCCACCTTTCTCTGGGGTCTGTTGCAGTAATGAACAGTTCGGGCACCCAAAAGTTTGCAGCATGCAGGAGGATGTGCATGCTGTCCACTGCAGAGGCTGTCCTTAGGCAGGTGACACTGAGCTGTGCTGGGTGGCAGCTGTGCACTTCCCAATGGTGGAGGTGGGATATAGTGAGGGGAGGAGAGCTTGAAGCACAGGAGCTTGGGCTCTGCTCAGCCTTCAGTGCTGAGTTACTGCCCCTGAGCTCCTCCACCACCCTGCGGGGAGCACTGGCTCAGAGCAGCCACAGCCATCCGTGTCACCCTGGGCTGGCAGGTCCTGGAGCTGGGCTGCTGCTGATGGTGTAAGGACAGGCTCTGCTGTGGGGAGCTGCTGATGGTGTAAGGACAGGCTCTGCCGTGGGGAGCTGCTGATGGTGTAAGGACAGGCTCTGCCGTGGGGAGCTGCTGATGGTGTAAGGACAGGCTCTGCCGTGGGGAGCTGCTCCTACTATGCAGGAGGCTAGAAATGGTGTCTTGTGGATGCACAGGTGCAAGAGGGAATTTCTCCAGACACAACCAACAGTTGAGTTTGATGAGGTGTTAATTAGACCATTCATGCAGCCTGAGCTGTTGCAGAGCAGACCATGTTAGCTACCTACTGTGTCTGCGGGTACAGGAATCCCAGAACTGCTCAGAATTTGCTTGGGGAAAAATTATGGGATTCTAAGGAATTAACATAGATTTTAACAGCAGATCAGGAATCAGACACAAAGGTTAATGCATGGCTGGATAGCCCATTTGGTGCTGGAAAAGAAGAAACATGAGGAAAAGCTATAAGGAAGGAGAGATGCTAAAGGAGAGCTGTTAAAGCTTGGAACATGTGGTACAAAACTTAGGCTGGCATGTCTGGGTGGATTTGATTCTGGGCTCTCATGACTCAGTGTTCCTCAGCTGGTGTAGCCCATTTTTTGCCACTGGTAACTCACAAGTTTCGGTGTGTAACTCCACCATGGCAGGAGCTGCAGGAATGCCAGCAGGGTAAGGTCTGTCAGGCACTTTTTCCCATGCTAGACTGGCTGTTGATGCTCTGTGGCCAGTTTAGGTCCTGAGACCGCTGAGTCACCAGAGAAGTCAAAATCTTTCTTGTCTGGAGCTATACTCTTTCCCTATTCCTCATCTCACAGATCTCACAGTCACCAGATCTTGTGGCTCCTTGGCTTTTCTCTGCCCTCTTTCCAGCCTCCTTGGCCCCTTTTTGCTACTGCAGTCACCACTGTGCATCCACCCTCTGGTCACAGGGACACAGCACCTCCAGCCCAGTGGCATAAGTAGGTGACAAGGCTCTCAATTGTCAGTCTTCCCCTCGCAAGGCACAAAAATATCTCGTCTTTTGTGATTTTACTGCCTCCTGGCCCTGGTTTGTATTGCCTGTGGAGACTTAACCACCCATCTGGTTCCTTGTGTCTCCTGGTGATTTTGTTCTGAAAGGAGCCCATAAAGCTGAAGAAGCACTTTTGTCAGTGGTGGTTAAGAAGAAGCCCTTCCTCCTTGCCATCTCTGGAGATGCCAGGACTGGGAGAGGGAAAGTCTTAGTTATTTGTGGGCAGCCAAGCAGGGGTCAAGTTAATACATGACGCAGTCCTCAGTCCTGCTCCTTTCACCCACAAATCAACCCCAAGCCAAGGTTTCTAACAATTACCTGGTAGAGAGAATTGTTAGCTTACAGTTCATGAAATGGCACAATGGGGTTCCACCAAAGCAAAAGCAAAAGCAAAGTGCTTAAAATGGGAGGCTTTGGTAGTGTTTTGATGATAACTGCCCTTGCCTTATGTCTCTGCCATCATGAGGATGAAGAGGCCTGTGCCTGTCTGTGCAGGTCAGCACGCCTCAGTTCAGGCATTAGTTTTTATCCAAATAGCAGCCATTGACAGTATGGACAGAGCTTGTTTGTTTAAATTCAAGTAAGAACGAGAAATAAGTAACTGGAGTAGGTGCTATCCAGCAAAGGAATGAATGGATGAATTTTAGGAATGAAAGTAGGCATTTTTCCCATCCTCTTGCTGAGAAGGACTTCTGCCATATTCGACACAAGGGACTTGTAAACACTGGATTTTTAGAAGTTGTTTCGGCTGTTTGCCTTTCTTTAAAAAAAAGTATATCCTTGCTGTACTGTATTACAAAAGCTACCACAAGGCTGGTGGCACAGACTGTACCAGGACACTCAATGG